TCAGGGTCGTCATGGATGACTCTCATACCAAGAGCTCCCACTCCACTGGAGAGGGCCAGCCTCAACGACAGATACAAGATTCCTGAAGATTTCTCATGCTGGAAAGGTATGACAAGGGAGTTGATGTCCGGGCCACCTCCGCTTCCCCTTCGAAGCTTCGCTGTCATTGATCGGGTTGGACTGACATGCCATTCTGGTCCTAGAGCCTCATGCACCGGTCCGAACTCCTTGCTGGTGGATCTAAACTGCACCCAGCATGTGCCCCGCCTCGAGGCCGCGGCTGAAGACTGGTCTCGCTTGTCTAGGTATATTGCTGGCGGCATATTTCGGTACAATATTTGGAGCGGGATAGAAATTGGAGCAGCATTGGTTCGGGCAAAGCGATTTGGTGATCCACCTTTTGCCAGTATTGGAATACCCACACGGGAGTTGATGTCAAAAGAGTATCTACAAGAAAGCAGAGCCACCTTGACAACCTCCCCCTGAGGTAGCTCCTGGTTAATGATAGAAAGGTTGGCATATACGCCTTTGGCGTTGATTGTTGCTGGGTTCCATTCGGTTGGCAGCGCCTCGATCTGGTGACTGGAATGGAACTGGGCTGGACTCGTAGCCAGCGCACCTATAGAGCTTAGATTCCTATCCTTTGCCGAGGCATCCCACGCGAAAATCGATTCATCTGCCGACTCCTTCATGATTTCCTCTTGTAGCCGAATGAATGCCTTCTCTCCCTCGCCGTAAATAGTCGGCATGTTGACGTCAAACACACCCATGAGGCAGTACGCCATATCCTCCACTCGGGTTGTTGTCCGCGTGGAAGCCCACGACATCCGCTGCGCGATGCTCATGTCCTCCCAAGATCCGGTCATGATCACATCCACGTCAATGCTCGTGCGGGCACTGATCCGATTCGCCAGGGTGAGCTTGTCATCCATGTACCGCCAGTCCTTGTCGAAGAAATAGAGCACCGGGGGGGCAAGGAGCTCCTGCAGCGTCCAGCCCCTCGTGAACCATCTGCACCTCTCGAATTTGTCGCTGCTCGACAGCTCCGACAGCTCTATGTCCTCGAGTAGGACGAAACAGGCCGACGCGCCCCGGTACCAGCGGAACATGGAGTTGATGGCCTCGCTCAATTCGGCACTGCTTGTCTTGTCGATGCAGCAGCTGTCGACCCAGCCGTGCCGGACCTCTTCTGGGAACATCTCCAGGCTCTCCCTGGCCTTGCGGCAGAAGTTGGCAACCTTCTTCCATCCTGGGTGTGTTTCCAATTCGGCGCGGGGAAGCTCCAGGTCTTGCAGCTTTAGTTCACTCGCGCCCCATGTGTGGGATAATATCGCGTACGGAGGTATTTCGGCGTCGTTCAGGAAAGTTTCAAGATGGAGTGAGTATAGGTTAAGGAGTCGCATCGTGCCCTTTCTCTGATCTGCCTCGGAACTTATTGAATGGACGATGAATTCGAGGTCGGAGACGTTCTGGGTGGAGCGATGCGGGGATATGCCATTAGCAGTTTACCTACCCTGCAGACTTCACATTTTCGCTCCTTCCGCAATCATTTTCATAATCCTTTAATTATTAATTTGATTTTTGAATATGGTCAAAGATGCCGGGCATTGAAACTTTTCTGTCAGGAAAGTGATCTACTGCATCAACTACCAAAGATGGAGGTTTAACATAAAATGAATTGCAGTGTCAATGATTTCGCAAGACTCCTCATTTTTCTTTTGAAGACAAGATTAGAGGGCATCAGGTATAAAAATAGAACAGAAAAACATTACCCATGCGACAATCGTCACACGCCGTCAATAATCCGCGGGGGACGGGATCTGGGGGAGAAGGAGTTGAATCTTTGCTTACGGATGAACTAGAACATGAGGGAACATGCCAATTAGTGAGGTTTCTAGTCCATAAGCGCAATACAGCATGGACGAGGCCGGGAGAAAGAGTGGTCTGTGTCATCAGCATCATCAGCTCTTCAATTTATCGTTTCAACTTCAATGACAATTGACAGGTGGGCACAGCTTTCTTTAATGAGGACGAAAGTCCTGCTCAGCCCACAAAGCTCTTGTGCGGGGAAGAGGCTTCGGCAGATTCTTTTTTTAGTCGATTTTTTGTTTCTGCTGTTCCAAGGGCTTACGTGTTGAAAACATATGACTGAAATTTCCCTATTAGGCATCTTTCTGCTCGGCGAACTAACTGCTAAGAGGAGGATTCCGCGATGGTCAAGGCAAGCGATCCCAGCCTATTAGCGGTGTTCCATCTCAGAATCTAGAATGAACGGCAATCGGAACAGTAAGACACTGAGTAATTAAAAATGTCAAACGCCTAGTCCCGACCGTGTGGCGAATCTTATTGGCTGGTATACGACGGTATTCCTTCGGGGCATGTTCAGCTTACATGTGGATACTGAATGTGGTCAGATAATTTCGGTAATAGAGCCTCCCCATGCTAAGACCTAACCCATGAGTGAAAGACTGAGGACCAACTCATTCCAATCGGCGTTAGATTCATGTTATCGACTTCAGCTATGACCCACCGAGTCGTGCGGCCGCACTCCTTTGACTTGTGCACAGCTGACAGCAATGACGAACACACCGCTGGGTCAACCCCGCCCATTGTCGTATATATGGGCGGTCGGCACTTCCTGCCTTGTCCGCTTACGGTGCCCGACGTACGGAATTGCTTCTTTACAACCCTCGAGCCGAGTTTGGTGAGCATCGTTGCGGCAACATGACGCAAGCAGGGTGGGAGGCGGCCGAGCCTCAAGGGCTTGGCAAGGCCCTTTTGGTTGTGACGATAACATTCACGGCCATAATGTCGCTGGTTTTCTTTCTCCGAATTGGAATTCGTCTGCGGTACCAAGAATTGATGAGGGAGGATTATCTCATGGGCGCTGGCTACGTTTTGAACCTCGTGCAGAACGCCTTTGCCTGCTACTGCGCGTACAATGGCATCGGGCTTCCAGACTCGGACATCCCCGGAGGTAAACAAGGGCCGACGTACAACGAGGGTCTAAAAGTATGTTCTGAAGCGACGGGATATCGTGTATCTATTGCCTTCAAGCACCAATCTAATGTCTTTCCAGGCTGTGTTCCTTTGGCAGTTGTTCTACCTCACTTCCATGGCTTTCATTAAGAGCAGCATCTGTCTCACCATTCTACGAATCGCCATTATCCGCTGGCAACGAATCCTTCTGTGGACGATCATCGGATGCAGTTTCTTCGTCGCCGTCATGCTCGACATCTTCATCCTCGTCGAATGCCAGCCCATGCAGAGAATCTGGTACGAGGCGCCCGGCTGGTGCTACCCCGACTCCGCCAAGGTCGCCATTACATTCATCACTTCCGGTATAAACATCGTTACCGACTGGATTTGTACCATCTTGCCCATCTTCATCATCTGGAAACTCCAGATGCCGAAGCAGAGGAAGATTGCACTTTGCGCGGTCCTGGGAGCTGGATCTCTTGCCTCCATTGCCACTCTCGTTCGCCTACCATCTGCCAAAGCCTATTTTGAAACCGATGATTATCTTAGTAAGTTGAATGTCTCGGCAAGGCCAACTCACTCGCATTTAGTTCAGATCTATTGACACCCATTTCCAGAGGTGCTTGGCACCAAGGTTACATGGACGATTATCGAGACCGACGTCGCGGTGATTGCGGGATGCCTGCCAGCCCTCCGTCGACTCGTCAAGGGTCTGAGCTCCAACAGGCCTTCCGACGCGTACCGAAGCTCAGACAACAAGCTTTTGGGCTTTATAAGCTGGAAGAGCTCCAAGAAGGGAAGCAAAGGAAGTCAGAGAGATTCGCAGAGGGGAACCCCGAAGATCCCCATGCACCCCTACAGCCCCTACAGGACGGACATGCCGAATGATAGCCTCGAAGAAGTCGGTAGCACCAAGGGTATAATAATGCCGGGGACCGCAAAGTAAATGTGCGCGAGACATTTCAATGGTTTAATAAACAGCGATACGAATATATTGAGAAGTGCGGACGCAGAAACGCGCTGCCTTGGAATCCTCACACGATCAATTCAAGGTCCTGCGGATAGTTTCATGGGACCAACCTTGCATAGCACGAAAAGCCGACAAGCTGTAGTGCAAGATGGTCCGGTCTCTTTTCAGGTTGACCCCGGTAGATTGCGACGTGTCTCTGATGCATTCAATCACGCTTCGAAAGGAGCATCTGATTGCCTTTCCAGAGGCTTCAGCACCGGGAAGAAGTGCAACCAGCGCCATGGAACTAAGGGTATCTCACTCGGAGACAGAATTCCTTGATCATCGGGTGGCATTGGGTGGTGCACTGTGTCACGGATGTTCAAAGGGTTTTGCAGACGTTCGAGGCCGTCAATTGGATCCTGAAGCACTCTCAAGGGAGGCAGGGCCTTTATACCCACGCATAGGTCTTGAAGTTGAGTTAATTAAGCATAATAGATAGCCTTACTCGATACCCCACTCACTTCAATTTGCATTTGCTTGCTCAATGGCGAGTTGAGTAGAACTCATGTTATTGCCTGATGAGTACCTGTGCTCCATAATCTTGGTTCTTCGTATTTCATCTTTCTTAAGTGGAAAATAGAAATCTGTGCACCATCTATCAACTCTCTTCAACTGTCTATTCCTACAACGGATTCAATGCGTTTCCCAGAATGAAGAGGGTGAGATGGATGCAGGGCAGCGTCCCAGTCCATGATTTGGGTTCATCCAGCGTCAGTTGAGGATCGTGCTAGCCCCTTTGATGTGTTCAGCTGAGGCTGTGACTGAGCGGCGCGGACGCTAGCGAATTAAGCGGCGCTTTAGCGGTCGTTAGTTGCGGCGATCAGCCTGGAACGATCCGGTTAGAGCCCAGCTGAGTCCCAAAGCCTCGGCCAATGACTCAGCCAAGGCGTATTTGCAGCGTCTCAAGCCGAACACAACCATAGAACGGTGCCAGAGCTGAAGATGATAACTACTTGAAGAGAAGAGTTTAGTTCCGTCTTTTTTCTTATTCTCTACACATACTAAGTAGCATCTCCTTCGTGTTGTTTCCGACTCTATGACAGCAGCAACTAGACGTCTGGCAACAATAACAATGACCGACACAACCCCCTTGTTTTTCTACGGAACGGGCAGAAAGTATGGCGAATTCAGCCAATGGTACCACGCAAAGTTCACCGTTTCCAAGGGCGAAATATACTCGGTCGTCGGCTTGCCTACAAACAAGCTTGAGCGACCTGACGACCCAATCCATTTCATGACCGCCGAGCAGTGCATGATGTATTGCAAAGCCATGCGCTTCGGTGACGTGGGAACTGCGGACAAGATCCTCCTTACTCCGGACCCGAGGAATCAGAAGGCCCTCGGAAGGCACGTAAAAGGATTTACGGAGGCGGGATGGGATGCCGTCAAATTCGAGGTGGTCCAGCTTGCGAACGTGGCTAAATTTGGCCAGAACGAGGAGCTTCGGGCTATTTTGCTAGGAACGGGAGATAGAGAGCTGGTGGAGGCGGCGACGAATGATCGCATCTGGGGCATCGGGATGGATGAGAAGCAGGGACATGCCACGATGGATACCCGCGAGAATTGGGGTCATAATCTCCTTGGAAAGGCATTGGTTGGAGCAAGGGTGCGCATCCGCAGGCTAGAGAGACTCACAGATTCATAGAAAGGCCGGATACTAAGGAAACACCTCTTTCTGAGACAATGATTGCCAGATATGTGAAAAAGAATTAAACCGTACAAAAGATATTGGACCCACCTGCAGTCTATTGGTTTTGAAGTTGTATTACTGAGAATACTAGAAATAAAGAATGCTTTACTGGAAGAGTGAAGACTGTAATGTGAATGTGGTGCTCTATTTTGACATCTAACTTGCGCCATCGTGATTTGGGTTGAGAGTGCAAGTGATAAGACACTTCGCCGGAACGCTCTCGCAACACTGTGATTCTGGTATTTCGCCCCAACAATCACCATAGTATTAGACAGAGCAACAGGAGATAAGAGTGAAATGGCTACGAATAAATTGTCTGTACATTTATACTAGATTGACAACCCCAAAGGCGTCGTGCATATGCAATACACATGTACAGAGGTTTTAACCATGCCTCTCTAATTTAACTTATTAGGAAGCTGTCTTTATGCTGGAGGACTGAAAATGATAGATCTGAGGTAGATAGATTGAATGTATTAGTGGTCTAAGAGGATGCTCGGAGCTTCGCCCTCTTTGGGAACTGGGGGGTCGTCGCTGTTGGTTGCGATTGACTTGTTGGCACTTCAGTTGAACCAACTCGGGAAGATGATACGATGACAGGTACTGCGCCACATCACGTCTGCCTTACAGCTGCCTATGTATATAACGATCACGCCCCGCAATGGAGAGAGCTGGGAGAGGTAAAGTGTCAGAATTTTTTAGCCCCTCATTGATTGCTGCTATTGCACATTACTTGACTCGAGCACTCAAGTCCTTTGTTCCCGCGAGCTTCCGTAGGCTTATCTCAAACATGTCTAGAAATCCTGATCCACAATGGCTCGCTTTCTCATCGATGTATATGACGGAGACCAGTCGAAAACGAAAGCTCGATGAGCTCCGTGGCGATCATCGCCAATCCGTCTCGCCGGTGTCCGCAGATGACGACCAGCTGTGCCATCAGTGTGCAAATATTGATATTGATGAGTTATTGAGTAGGAACCTTGATGGAGGCTATAGCTCGTTCGTCATGAATCTGGGCCAGATTTCGGCGTTGAAAACATCTTCATGTCGTTTATGTCGCAGTTTTGCGAGCCTCGCTCCTTGCAGCCCAGCCGCCAAATGGAAATTTAACGCTTTAGCATCAAGCCTATGGACAGACGATTATTGTCATTTGCGAATTTTCAGTGGGTGTTGCATCTTCACCGGGGCATCTAGGCGATTCCCGGACGGGAGGATGCGCGAAACCAACGTTTTGGGTGTCGCCCCGTCAAAATCTTCTCCTAGAACTGTCGATTCTCCTGCTTTGCGCGCTATGGGTGATGCTTGCGATCAAATAGGCTTCCTCGGCCAAGAAACACCAACGGGCACGGGAAATATATGTAGAATCCGGATGGTCAACCCTTGGGCATTTGACTTCGCTCTAGCAAAGATGTGGATTTCCTACTGCCAAGACAATCACAAGACGCGCTGTTTGGCGAGCACATCCTCGGAACTCCAGTCTTTCCGTGTTTTTGATTGCCATAGTCGCCAAGTAGTCGATGCGCCTCGAGGCTGCCGCTATGTGGCTTTATCATATGTATGGGGAAAGACCAATGGTCTCGCCTCATCTGTGCCTCGAGCATCACCGGGGGCCAATGGTAGCCGTTTCGGGAAGGTTATTGAAGACAGTATAACGGTTACCCAAGCGATTGGCTTACAATATCTCTGGATCGACAGGATTTGCATTGACCATTCCGATCACGACGATACACTTCACCAAATCCGTCAGATGGATCTCATTTACGCCAATTCTGACATAACGATTATTGCAGCCGCATGCAATACCCCCGATGATGGCCTACCGGGAATCAATGGAACACCGAGAACAATCCAACAAACCCTGAGAATCAAAAACAAAACACTCCTCTCCAGCTTACCAAGTGGAAGGTCCAGCATAGAGCAGTCGAAATGGAACACCCGAGGCTGGACCTTCCAAGAAGGTGTTCTATCTACGAAGCGACTAATTTTCACAAAGACCCAAGTATTCTTTGACTGTAACGGGATGCATTGCAGCGAGGCAGTACATCTGCCATTGGACGACTTGCACGGGCGCAATAAGCGCAAGTTCGACATTACATATGATCTGGGTCCTCTAGAGAGAAAAGCACCCCAATCCGACCCGATAGGTTATATGGACTTTGTTCAAAGCTTTTCCATGAAAGAGCTTACATACGCATGTGATGCCCTGAATGCGTTTCAGGGGATTCTCAATGCCTTCAAGAGGGCCCGAACCCCCATCTACTACTTTTGGGGCATACCAGTTTTCATGAGCGACTACAGCTTGATGCGCACGACTGGCCGGAGAAGACCCATGGGGTCAATATCGGCACGGTTTGTTCTGAGTCTCTTCTGGGGAGCATTTCGAAAATGGGAGACCGAGGAAAGTGCCTCGAATCTTTCGTTGGGAAGAAGGGAGTTCCTCCCGAGTTGGTCGTGGGCCGGTTGGAATGGAGGTATATCCAAATCCTTTGCATCCATGGGCCAAGGTTGCTTTTCTGATGTGAAGGTTTGGCTCAAGGGGAAGGACGGGAAATTGATTAACCTCAATGACGTCAATTTCTATCCTAAGATGAGTGCAATGGAAGACGAATACTCCAGCATCTTTCAGTTGGAGGCATGGACGATGCCTGTCGACATCAAGCGTCTGGAAGTGCAGCAAACAGAGTGCTCTGACCAGGCAGTAGGTCATGAGGCGCAGTCTGCATTCTCTGTAGCCTTTGGCATGGGGTCTCAAGGAACTGTTTACTCAGATCTCATAGGCAATGATTGGTATGGCACTGCTTCTCCCGCTACATTCATGGCACTTCTTCCAAGAGCATATACGGAAGACAAAAACATTTGCGTGGATGAGACGGCCATGGTTATGCGAAAGGTTGATGGACACTACGAACGTGCAGGTCTCTTTAAGATGAACCTCGACTGGATATGGGATGATAAAGGTAAAAAGAAGATCAATCCTTCGAGGAAAAGCTGGTCAGAAGTCAGCCAAGGCTTGAACATTACATTGAAGCGTTTTTGGCTTGGGTGAGCTACCCCCATGCTGTGCTGTGAGCTACGGGTGTCGATCTAAAATAGGGGTGGCACTAAAGCATAGTCAGATGAGTTTAATAGAAGATTAATGAAGTAATGAAATCTCACACAGTGGTGTAACGGAGTATAAAATTTTATCACGCCACATATTTGATCCAAGGGACAAGTGCATGGCATTCTTGTGACCTTGTGGAAGATGTTGGAGGTACTGTTTTGTCCCTGTTGGGAGAATTCCAGACCAAGCAAAGGGGCATGATCCTAATGTAGCTTCAGTAGAGTGTGTGAAATCATGAAAGAAGTTTTATCGTTTCTTTAAAATCGTAAACATGTGCTTTCCAAGATAGCAGGGCCGGTTCGGTAGCTATGCGCCGAAGAACGATGTGCACAATGAGTTAGCTTGGCACCCTGGATGTTACTGGAAGTGTATTAGATTGCACGGCGGAGCAGTAATGAATTACATTAAATGTATCAAAAGCCGACACCGAAGAGACGATTACTCTCAAACAAACCTAACATGAATTAGTTATCAACCTCTTTCTGCGTTGCTGGACGGGCCTCCTGAAATGGGTATTTCCAGCTACTACACAAAGAACAATCCTTATTTCTTTTCATGTGTGGTATAAACTTTCAGTTTCGTATACTAATTTCGGGATCATCTTGCGCTCAAGCCGCTCCGTAGGATTCACCGCTCGAATCCCTACCTCTCGTAGCTCGACCAATAACTTGCCGAAGTGGGGGTACTTTGGTCTGACTACACTCACAGGCTGAAAATCATTTGTTAGAATTCGATGTAATCCTTCATGATTCCTTCAGTATGCGGGGCAAAGGGGGAATGAATGAAACCCTAAACGATAGGAGTGCTGATATGACAAGCAGTGTGCGACTTCTGACCCGTCATAGGTCGACCATGAAGGATCATGTCCTGTCATGGCATTGATGGAGTCTCGGGACCGAAGATGCACCTTGATGCATAAGATCGAGCCTGTTTTTGTTCCTTTTGGCGTTGCTGAGAAAGTGTACTTTGAAGAAGTATAAACGGTAGCGGCTGGCTAGATGATTTGCTGACGTTCAAGATGATACTCACAACAATGGCCTTGAAGGGAGTCAGCTCTTTGGATGGGATTCCTTTCCTTGGAGCTTTGCTATAAGATCCGATCTGAGTGAGTTTCATCAAAGGAGGGGGCGAGTACTGCATCCTGGGCGCATGAATGGACCCACGATCTTATTAAACTCACGCGGAAGGGAGCCTATCGAATTAACCCCTGCATCGGCGACGGCTAGGAGATCAGGATTGAAGTGCATCTCTGATTTCGGTCCTCGGCCATCAGCTGCATACGTATTTTGGGCAATTTCTGACAAATGTCGGCATTTCTCGCTGAGCGAGCGCTGAGCGAGACAATTGATCGGGGAGGACGAGGTGGTATATATATGGTGACGTCTTGAGATGAGGTGATTATTTATTTCAGCAACACAACACCGCTCAGCTTTGATCTCTCAGTCAAATACTCGCAAGCCCTCCTCATCTTGTCGATTCCATACTGGTTACAAGCTCCAAAATGGTCTGCATTAAGTCTATCTTGACACTCGGCCTTGTCGCTGGGTCTACGGCGGTTGCCCTGCCCAAGAACGACACTCTCCCTGGGTGCGGAGAGGTCAACGTGTTTTACACGTGAGTTTGTATTCGAAGATAATGAAGCCCTCTTTTTCTAACTTTATCAGTGGCTTGCCTCCGTACCATAAGTATGTCCTTGAGCAGGGATATCCAGGAGACGAGGCCGCGGGAGCCATCAAGAACAGCACCCGGGAGCTCATTAACGCGGGCTACAATGTCAAGAGTAAGGTCCTATTTTAGTATTTTAGCTTCCATGCACCTAACACGAGCGTACAGTGTTTTTGGCCGGTCCCGAACAACCCATGTCGGTCACCGAGGATCGAATGAAGGGGCGTCACTGGCATATCACCGGCGTCGGTTACGGTGTTCGCGGCTCCACCAACGGAGAAGTCATCACTAAGTTTGAGGGTAAGCATACATCGATCTTCTTCATAAAAAGAAAGGAAGATAAACCGTTATCTAACCTTATTGGAATAGACAACCTTATGCTTTTCCGTCGCCAAGGCCCCAACTCCCCAACAGTCTTCAACTACAACCCCTGGACCTTCCTGTGGTCTGTCCAACGTCGCGCCCCTTTGAGCAGCGACTGTACTGGACAGCCAGGTACTGACTATGTTTGTGACCCTCTCGATACACTGCCACGTTCATAACATGGGTTTACTACAGATTGACTAACACTGTTTAAAAAGGGATATGAGGAGGTTTGTGGCGAGGGGTGGTGCTCAAACCCTACCAAATAAACGGACGATCTTCATTCCGACTTTCATTATGGTTACTTGGTCTCATCGAATGGGTCTGGGGATTGGCCTGGATGAGGGTATGAAAGGGTTCAATTTCAAAAGCGGATCGGGCTCCATGTTTCCAACGCAAAGATCGTATACTGCTTCCGAATATTTCCTCTTCTCCCAGATGTACTTGTTATTCGCCTCAAATTACGGTTTCAATCAAGAATGACTCTCAAAAGTATTGCATTAAACAAAGGTCTCACGAAAATATTGTCAATTGAAGGGGGAACTACTAAACATAAACCAGCGGGCACATCTGAACCGTCGCATCGTTATTCCTTTCTTTAAACTTCTACATTGAAAGCCCCTTGCTATCAACCTATAAAGATGAAATCACATCGAAGAGCGACTGTCTTCCGAGCTCGTCTTGTAATGGCCCAATCCACATCACGGAAAGCAACCACGTGCGAGCCTCTTCCCACTTCAACGCAGGATACTGAACGCCACGTAATAAGTCCCCGACGCACCTCTTCTCCGGACCGGCCACCATCATTCTAGATACTATTGCGAGCCAAAAGAGTAAATCGTCGGATCCTAATTGACTGGGTTCCAGCTGCTGAAGAGCTTGATGGAGTCTTGAACCTAGATATGGATATGCAACTCTTTTCCCGGGGAACGAAAAGACAGTTGTGGCAAATGCGAGCATGCCGAGGCATATGCAGAGAGATGGCCCATCTGTCAGTGTTTGCTCGAGATGAATTAAGCGACTCTGTACAGAGTGTAGCATCGACTGAAACTTGAGTGCGTCAAGGCGTTGCGTGTTCTCCAGCAGCCCGTGAATAAGAATGCTGAGGCGCTGGAGGTCATTGTATGTGCTCACCAGCCGAGGGTTAAAGATTGCATCATCCAGATGAACAAGTGTCTCCCAATCATCATAGTCATCACTGAAAATAGCTACCCAGGAGGATGGCTCGACAAAAAGGGTTGGCTTCCTCCCAGACCGCAGACAGGACAACAAATCCAAATTTTCAATTTTGAAGTGAAGCTTGGGCCGCTCCCTTAGAAAATTTGACCCTCCTTTTAGTTCGATAATTCTCTTCAGGCCCGCCAAGTGGGTGTGTGTAGCGGAGAAGTCGTTATGGAGCCCACCCATGAGCGCGAGCGACTGGATGATCCAGACTGTGCTTTCCCATTGGAGTGCTTCCGGACTCGATAGCCTTTGATTCAAAAGCTTTAGAGCTTTCCTATGGTGATAGTACATTGCTTCACTAGGGGGCTGATCGTAGATCACGCATTTCATCGAAAATACGCCCATTAGGGTTGTGTGAAAGAATACCGCGTCCGAGAAGAGCCATGGGACATGGTTCCCCATGTACTGATCGAAATCGACGCACTGATGAATTGGGTACATGGTATTCTTGATATTTGAAAATTTAAAAACTTAACAGGTTAGCTCAAGGCCTGTAAGAAATTGGATGGTAGTCATCATACACTGTTCCATGCTTTCCTGGGACGCCGGCTTCAATTCATCGGCGAACCTAACCAGAGCAACGTCTGGGGGCGGCGGGGGTGGTATTCTGCATAGAACTGATGCGGCTTTGGATAGTTGGCAATTCACATTGGCTGGAGGCGGGCTTGCCACAGCAGGGGGAGGTGGCGGAGTCAAAGCTGGCATGGCAGAGCGACGAGCCTCCTTGGCACTTCTTCTAGCCTCTCTCTTGGACCTTCGGGAACCGTCTTTCTTGTTGCGTCCTCTCATGCAGTGACTCCGCACACGCGTCAAATCGCTGGATGTGACGGAGCCACCTAAGGATGCGTCAATGAACACCAAGTTAGCCATTTGTCAGATTCGGGTCGACCGGAGTGATAAATTCAGCCGAGGAGATTATCTTGACACCGACTCAAAATGGCCACAGTATTTTCCGTAAAGGGTGAAAACTATGAGATGGGCGAATATCTACGGGAGTATAAAAGGGGGAGGAATCAGGATCAGGACGTCAGAAGCTGGACGGTTGATCTAAGCTCGGGGCGGAGACGATCAGACCCGATTTAAAATGACCACACTGTTTTCCTATTTTGGTTAGCCAAGGCGATTCGAGATTGATGTGACTAGACGGCATCTTGCTCGCACGCAGAGTCCATTGATTGAATTAATGATGCTCGATTACGAATTGTGATTGATTCTGTACTTGAATACCTATAAATACTGACTGTCTATCCATTTCCAAGAGTCCTGTCTTCTTCACTAGGAAACCAACAGCCAAAAGCCCTCTCAATTCCCCAATCCATCGACTGATATCGCATTGTGGAACTTTGGATTCCTCCTCTTAAAAGTATAAAATGGCGTCTGCAGCACTCCCTCCTCTGAGTCTCACAGGTTTCCAAACCTGGGTCAAGTCGCACATCACGACGAGGCCTCAACCACCACCTCCTACCACCGACCTTTCCGGCCAAACATGCATCATTACTGGAAGCAACACGGGCCTAGGCTTTGAAGCCGCTCGCCTATTCCTCCAGCTCCGCCTTTCCCACCTCATAATGGCTGTTCGTTCACTCGAGAAGGGTGAGGCTGCAGCTGAAAAACTCCGTAAGGAGTCGCCTGAAGCTAAGATTGAAGTCTGGAAATTGGATATGCTATCTTATGATTCCATACAAGACTTC